TTGTACATTTGCTGTTGTGTTAAACTTATATTAAAGTTTTTCTTCATTACCCATTCAAGCCGTCTCCAGTCATTATCTGTTACAAGACTTTCAAAACCTTTTCCCACCACTGATGTAAGACTAATAGGCCTATAATTACCTGGACAATTTTTATAACCTCTTAAAAACAGGAGTAATGTTAGCCAACTTCCTATCCTCTGGAACTTGCCCACTACTCAGAGCTTGCAAAAAAATATCATCAGGTGCCTCTCATATTCCAACCCTTCAAAATCCTGGAGTAAATATTATCTGGTTTAATGGCCTTATCATTCTTTAAAACTTTCCAATTTTTTCTTGAGAAGTTCAAAATTTATGTGATAATCTTATTTATCAATCACATTTCTGCCAACTTTTTTCATGTTCCTTTTTCAATAGCCAAATTTTCTGGTTGACTAACTCTCTTAATCTTTTATAATCCTTTAACTCTTCCATCATAGCAGTCAATTTAACTTTCTTAATTCTGTGATGATTTTCTTTAATTATATCCCTTATATTGTTAATGAGCCAGCCTTGTCTTTTCCTTGCAGACACTCTTTTTCTTTTTTCTATAAGGAACATGTCCATCTTGAATATTTCAAAAAATTAACTGTAACATTACAAATAAGTGGCAGAAACATTGGTGACTACATGGAAGTTCTTCATTTATATTTCTGAGGTTTCATCCCAAGGTTGAAAGCTTTGTTAAAGTGTAAATCTTCTTTCTTTTTTTTGTTTTCCAAAGACGTTTCATAAATCATTTTTGAATCCCCCACAAAATTTCCAGTGAAATTACACTAAATACAAGTAGTTTGGAAGTAAAAGACTGACTAAAAGTCAAGATGTCATCTATAAACCAAATTTTAATCTGTGTATAAGCTCCTGATACCATGACTTGAATAGACTAGAAAGTTATTTTACTTACTTTTTCCTTGAACAACCATACATACTAAAACTGGTCTAATTCAGAATTAGTTTGTTGCTACCTGTAGGGTGATTTGTCACAAAAAATAAGAGCACCATAATCTGTAGTTACTAATTTAACACCTGACACATGAGTGAGCCCAGTATCTTGATGTGGATTAAAAAACTAAATCATTCCAGAAAGGTTTGAG